GAGAACTCCTACAAGTAAGCAATGTCAAAGCACAACTATAGTTTCTTTCATTAATTTATTCTCATCTCTCTCTCTCTTTTTTTAAACAATGTTTCCAGTCTGGTCTATGTGCAAAGCCTTCCTCTGCAAGCTGCTGCAGTTTAGAAATGTGAAACAATAGAAAAGAGTAGAACAGGTTGATCTTTTTCACTCTTCTTTTTTTCTGTTTTATTTCATTCTTGGGTTATAAATTGACATGCGGGGTGTATTTCATGTGTATGCAATAAATGGTTGTACTGGATCACAACAGCTGCACACCCAGTGGTTGTACAGACTTTGCAAAGGAAGCACAATGTGCGATCGTTTTTATGCAGGACAAATGTTTATTAAAGTCTTTGTGCTTTAAATTGCTTTTTAAAAATTGTATAAATAAAGGCATTTCGTTTTATACATACATTTGTCCGGTGTGTTTCTTTTACCTAAACAGCATATCAGACTTTATCTCGTTTAGATTTTGATTCATTTAAGTCAAGTCACTTATACTTCCTCACTAGCTGAGCAGAAATGACCAGTGTTGAACACTGCCTGAGGTGTCTGCTAGCATTTATCTTCAATGTCCCTGCTCACTATAATCCCCACGACATTCTCTCTATCTCGGTCACACATATGGACAGTGCGGTTTAATTACTAGCTGCAGCCTGGGGTCTGGTCCGGCACATTAAACTCCCTTCTCATTCCTCTGTCCTTTCTCTGCCTCACTCAATAGTCTGCATGTTATTTTAGCCAGCATTAGCTCAGCTCCTAGCACTGGTAGACAGTGGGTGAAGGCGCCCCATAGAGCTCATCTTTTAATGACTGTCTGATCAGATTATCACTGTTTTTACCCAGACTCAGCCAGCTGACGCTTGTGGTCTGTGGTCTGTCTGTAGGCAGTGAGGTTTTTCTTTTTTTCTTAGGCTGGATAAAGATTTTTTTACAGATTCATTTGGGCATATTTCAGTGAACGTGGTTTATTATAAGGATTGGATTGTAAGAGTCATTTGTTCGTGAATGGACCTAGTTTATGTTTTCATTGTATGTTTTATTCAAGTAAGAGTAATTTGTTTGTGATCATGCTGCAATGATAACACTGTGTAAACCGGTTGTTTTTACTGGATCAAAAACAAATGTAGTCCCATTCATGAACAAATAACTGATGAGCTGATCCTTTTCTCAGATCATTAGACAATGATCAAATAAAATCATAAGATGAGCCAATCCATGTGTTACTCATGCTTTTGATTAACCAAAAAATGCTCAAAATAGTCATTTGTTCTTGAACTACACTGGTCACACTGTTTGTTTGTTTTTGCTCCCAAGGGCAACTCAATAGAAAGTTATGTCTTGCTTTTATTTTGCCATAAATGCTGTATTTTTTTTTTTTTAGCAAATTCTGTTTAGAATGCAAACCACTCTAGTTTCATTAGGAGCAGCAGATTATATTTTTTTCTTTTTTACAAATCAAAATCCTTCAAAATAGGAAATCTTGATTAATCAGTCGATCAATGTTCTTTCTCAGCCCTAGTTTATTCCTTTAAAGCAAGACATTACAGGCAAAACCATTGCTTTTTTTTTTTTTTACCCACTTCAATAGCACTTTCATGGCTGTTGACAATTATTTATTTATTTAAATGGCACGATAGAAAGAGATATTCTAAATCCCCTCTGTAAAAAATGTCAACTTCAGTTGCTGTTCAGGACTTAAATGAGCTAAATAATGTGGTGACAGATTATATACATTTTTGTGTGGCTAATGTCATAAAAACTAAATGTATTAAAAGGTATCCAAATGACAAGCCATGGATAAATGGGGAATTAAAAGCAGCATTGAAGAAGAAAAAGCAAGCTTTTCAGACAGGCGATAGAGCACAGGTTAAAGTAATGCAAAAAGAAATTAGGCAAATAATTATTAGGTGTAAACATAATTACAAGCAAAAAATTGAGAGAAAGATGAGAGATAATAATTTAAGGCAGGCATGGCAGGGAGTGTATACAATGATAGGACAGGAGAAGAGTAAATCACTTATGGGTAATCATGAGGATGATTTGGCCTTAGCAAATGAATTAAATACATTTTTTGGTAGAAGGAGTTGACGCTAGCATATTGTAGCAGTCGGGGGGGTTCATATGGGCCGTGCCCTCCGCAGCACCGTTTGATTCTGTCTGTCTGCATCTGCCCTCCACACCGCTGCTGCTGATGCTTAATTATGCAGTAAGCAAGGCCACACACACACACACACACACACACATAGCCCTGCTTACTCCCACACACATCCTCTCATGTTTGCCCTCCAGACAATACACACTTAATGAAGCAGATGAAGAGTGTTTGAGCTGAATAGAGAGCGAGCGGTAATGAGAGAGTTGCTGCAGTGATAAAACAAACGTCCTTCTCTGCTAATCTAGGAAGACTGGACAAGTGCCATTGTTATGGTGGAGATGTTTCTTAAATAGCATTTTACATCATAATGCATATGCAACCCACTTCATAAAAGACAAACTCCTGATTTAGGCTCGGTGTAGACAGTCTTATCTATTAAAATGCAACAGAGAAAAAGAGATGAAATAGCATTACTGATTTCATATCAGTAAACATTCGGTTCAGCCCCTCCCAGTCTGTGTCCTTCATTAGCGAATATAGAAACAAACTGATTTAGATTATTTATATATATTTTGCTTAAAGTCGGGGCTAATGGAATTTTTGTTTTTTTTTGCTTTTTGTAAATAAAAATAGGTTTTCACTTGTGGAGCAAATATTTTTATTTTTATGTACATTTTACCCATACATTTTCCCCTTTGAAGTGACACTATATTCATTTAATTTTCATCATCAATGTGTCTGACTGTATGTTTCCTTCGTGCAGATGAGTGTTGAGGCAGGTTTAGGAAGGCATTCACAGACTATTTAAATAAGAAACCATTTAAAACAAGAAACCATAAATAAAATGAAAACCGACAACGTCTGGAAGAATATGAATTGTGACATGACACTGGATGCAGAGAGACGTGGTGGATTGTTTTAGATTAGAAAATGCTGCCATCATGGGGTGACATTTGGCATTACTGTTACATAACCACTCAAACCCGCTTCACCCACACCTTCCACCAACTGCACATTCTGCCTTCTGTTGTAATATTTAAACATATTTGTGTAATGCCTGCTTTGCAGTTATTAATTTCATTTCAAAATATGCACACCAAAATCACAATGTTATAATGTGACCCTGGACCACAAAACCAGCCATAAGGGTAAATTTTTCGAAATTGAGATGTATAGGCCTACAACATCTGAAAGCTGAATAAATAAGCTTTCCATTGATGTATGGTTGTTAGGATAGGACAATATTTGGCCGAGATACAACTATTTGAAAATCTGGAATCTGAGGGTGCAAAAAAAAAAAAATCGAAATATTGAGAAAATCGCATTTCAATTCGTCCAAATGAAGTTCTTGGCAATGCAAATTACTAATAAAAAATTAAGTTTTAATATATTTACAGTAAGAAATTTACTAAATGCTAGTGTTTTTTTTTTTTACCATTACATTTCCATCATCTTCTATAAAGGGCTGACACTATTATAATATCACACATAATTAGTAGATTATGTATCACTGTTGTCTAAAAATAACACTTCATTTGTTGTAATTGCATTATTATTGAAGGGTGCCAGAAATGTCACACTAAAGGAAATACATTTAGGATGTTAATGATTCTGATACTGTTAATGAAGTGTCATTTTTCTCTCTCTTGCTTTTTATTGTTATCCTTTTTTTTCATTCTAAGTCATGTTGCTTTTAGCTTTCCCTGCCAACATGCATCTCATTTCTGCCAAGAGGTAATACATTCACTACCAATGGTTACAGTTTGCTTAAGATACGTGTTCTTGAATAGAAATAATGTTTCTGCATTGTCATTGTATTAATACAGGCAGGAGAATGGTAACGGCTATGTTTCAGCATGTTATGGATTAACATTGTAAATATATGTCATTTCACACCCTCCATTCATTACACAACTTCACCGACACTTTCTGAATCTGCCTTAAACACCCCACCCTGAATGAGCAAGTGGGATCTGTCCCAGCAGTTTTCTGCAGAGATATAATGGGGCAATCCTGTGTTTCAAATATACTATATATTTTTTTTTTCTTCTGTGCTATAATACACCTGCTTAAGTCGAACATTATTACACTTGAGCTTGTGTTGAAAATTCTCAGAGAAACCTGTTTAACCTGCAGAGAGTGTTAGGTGCAAAAAGGGGAAATAAGATTTTCTAAATACTTTCAATCAGTATTTGCTTACGTAATTCTTAAATATTTGCATTTGTCCTTAAATTGATTTTACATAGGCTACATACGGTACACATTACCCTTCAAATGTTTGGTATCAGTAAGATGTTTTTTAAAGACGTTTCATGCTGAAAATACAGTAAAACCGCAATATTGTGAAATATTATTACAATTTCTATTGATATTACAATATCTATTTCAGTGTATGTAATTTATTCCAAAACTGAATTTCAGCAGCCAGTCTTCAGTGTCACATGATCCTTCAGAAATTATTCTAATATGCTGATTTGGTGCTCAAGAAACATTTCTTCTTATTATCCATGTTAAAAACAGTTGTGCTGCTTAATGTTTTTGTGGGAAACTCTTTCTGACCCCAGACTTTTGAATGGCAGTGTATATGGAAACGTATCAACAAATCTGTTGTGTGCATTCATATGTATTTTCGGAGTGAAACTCTCTGACCTCTGAAACAATGTGCTCAGGAATAGCTCCTGTGAGCATTCTCACCTAGCCGGTGTGTTGGGTGTGTGTGTGTGTGTGTGTGTTTGTTTGTTTCAGGTGTGTATTCAGCGTTGTAGGTGTGTGTGTGTGTTTATGATAGAGGTTGATGTCTGTAGGTGTGATGAAAAGGGCAGGGCTAACCGAGCCGGTCTCTGATCAGGTGGAGTGGTAGAGTGTCTGTATATGCATTTGTCTCTCTATACCTGCTGGTGTGTTGATGTATGTTTAGCCTCTCTCTCCTGAGTCAGGCACTGAGGGCCGTTCATCTGGGGAACATGTTCAGCCTTATCAAACTTCAGCGTGTCTTCACTGTGCACCAAGTGCCCAAAGTAAGTTCATTCATTTAACAAACACAAAACTACCACAACAAACAGATGTGATTTTAACTGTAGTTGTTTAAGGTATTCTTGGTATAGTAAAATTGATGGTAGGAAGTCAAGAATCACTTGATTTTTTTCTTTACCCTCTTATAACTATGCAACCTGATGTGAAACAGTTTGAAGGTACCCAAACATTTTCACATTAATGCTTTGCATTATTTTGCTAGCTTGCCTGTGGAGAGAACTTCTTTGCTGTCTTTATTAAATGAGGGGTTTGTGTGACTCTCTTTTTCCATGGTAGGCATTTCACGAGGACAGTATCATCTCTGGATATCGACACCCTCGTAGTTCGGCCACAGACTGTGTGTTGAGTCTCTTTCAGCTCACCAATGAGACCCTCAATGTCTGGACTCACTTTCTACCAACCTGGTACATTGAAACTGTAGTTCTTTTGCGCAATCTCTCGCACTGTTTATCTCTCATGCTTGCTCTCTATATGCATATCTCCATGCTTTTGCCACTTTCTCAGTATGGCTTTTACAATAAATGTTGTTATCTTATAACTCACAGACGATAGTATACGAACTCACACAACTTTAACAGCACAATGGCCCTGGGTTTCATGGCAACAGTATTTAGACTGACTGTGTGTGTATGGTGTGCTGAGACCTACAGTAGTTTGACTTGAGAATCTCCACAGTGGATTGTTATGTCCCTCAGCAGCTGAGCCGCTCCCAGGAGAGTTCACCTTGCTGGATGATGACAGAAGGTCTGCTATCACTGTTAATGAGCTCCTAGTGTGATTCTCACCAGAGCGTCCTCCAGACGTAAACATGTTGGAGAGTCACTCATGTCAACTTTACTTCTTTAACTTGTATTTGACTTTATTGTGATATTATAGGGTTTTATTTATTTTTATTAACTACGAACCAGTGCTCTACAACAAGCCTGTGTTTTAAGTCACACACATACTTTTTAAATAATAAATGTATCTATGCATACAGTACATGCATATATATATACAACAACAACAACAACAACATTTATTTATAAAGCACATTTAAACACAATGTAAATTGATCCAAAGTGCTGTACAATGATCAATCAAATCTACTAATAAAAACAACAACTACACGCATACAAAGGCTAAAGAGTAAAAATAAGATTATTATATATATATAATAGAAAAGCTATAATAAACATATACTATAATATACTATAAAAGCTTGTTTTATTAATGTTTTTTAATAACTTTCATCATCTCTTCTGTTTTTCTTTAGTGTTCTGCATAAATTGCATACTACTCTAGCATAACTCACTGTTGCAAGTATTGACTACTGTTTGATATTCTAAATGATTAAATGTAAATGTACAGTTCATTGCAAAACATTTTTTCCATTACTCGTCTATTTAAAATACACCACATCCTCTGATCCCACACAGTGGTTAAATACACAGTCAACCGACAGTAAATCAATAGGACAAAACGTGGAATCTGTAACCTGACTCTGTGTTAATGTTTGGTTATGTTAAACTCACTGATCCCTCTAAAGCAAGCAAGAGTAAATCAGACCTATAAACGTGATTCATCACTCAAAAATCTTGAGATTTAAAGACTAGATTTAATAAGACAACTCTAAATGCCACATATTTTTAGGGCAAGGCTGACATTGCTAAATCTAAGATGCTCTTTGTAAGTAGTAGATGTTATGTTCCCACAGAAATAGCAAACCCAGGGAATTTGTGTGTTTTTATAATAAATATATAGCTAGTCTGCAGGGGTGGAAACCCTGAATATACAGTAAGATGTCTTTGGAAAATCTCCTTTAAAAACTCTACCATCTGTATTAATTCTTATCTTTACTGTACATACCGTACAGCATAGAAACCAGCCTTACAGGTGCTCTGTAGTGATTAAACTAGACCTATAGAAACCTAGACTGATAAGACTGATTTGTGCAATCTGTGTGTGTGTGTGTGTTCATGCACTTCTGTTTGTTTCTATGTCCTCCTGTCAGATACATCCCTATAGCAACAAACTCTGCCAGCAAGTCTAGGCAGGTTCAACATTTGAATTCAATTTATTATTGCCTATTCTTTTTTTTTGTTTCTGATTTCCACAGTAAAACATGTTCACTTAGATTCTGTAGCTACTATGTGTAGAAACTATGCAAGCAATTGTCCTTCTAGCCTTTCAGTGGAAAAGAATGGAAACAGTCATAAGATGAAAAATGTATATTTTTAAATCTCATGCGTATAATGTTGTTTCCAGCAACAGAAAACTTCATGGATTTATTGTTTCACTGTATAAATAGTTTGTTGTGAGTTGCAGCATTGCAGTGCTGTGTCAACATCATTGTCTGTCATCATCTCATCCCTCTCTCTTTCTCCATCAGGTATTTTCTCTGGAAGTTGATGACAGTGTTGTTGATGGAGGATGCGTGGTTTGATGCGTACACATGGCCTCTGCTGGTCTTCTTGTTCTCCTGCTGTGTGTATCCATTGGCCTCCAGCTGCGCCCACACCTTCAGCACCATGTCTACCCGCGCTCGCCATATCTGCTACTTCTTTGACTATGGGGCACTCAGCCTGTACAGCCTCGGTAAGAGAGGAACACACAGGCATATTCACTTCAACACTACACTCTTAAAAATAAAGGTGCTTCACGATGCCATAGAAGAACCTTTTTTTGTCTAAATGGTTCCATAAAGAACGTTTAACATCTGAAGAACCTTTCTGTTTCACAAAAGGTTCTTTGTGGCGAAAGAAGGTTCTTCAGATTATAAAAAGGTAAGAAAGAGATGGTTCTTTAAAGAATATTTGACTGAATGGTTCTTTGTGGAACCAAAAATGGTTATTCTATGGCATCGCTATGAAGGACCTTTTAAGCAGCTTTATTTTTAAATGTGTATCAGTTCCTTGGCTTGTTATAGAAAATATGGCTATAAAAGTTCAGGGTTCAAAGTTCTGTACGGCAATATTTAACAGGCACAATGGAATTCTTGCACAATTAATGCAAATACAGATATGTCACAATACTCTATATTATTTCTAGGGATGCTATGGCAATAGAATTCTGTCCAACACACATAAGTTGATCATTATTTAAAATGTTGGCCAATAACTAGTAAATTTACAATTAACATTAAAACTATGTTTTGTGTAAATAATTTGAAAATAAAATACTAAAAACTAAAAATCATCCATTTTATATGATACAAGTGAATTTAGGCATCACAACGCTATAATGCTGAGTATGGAAAATAGATATTTATTTTCAGACATTTTTAACAGTGTTATGAAATTATTATGGTATTTTAAGATTAACTTTAAATGAGCTTTAGATGGTAAAGGTAATCCAAATACAAAAATACACTGGTAGCCAAAAGTTTGGAATGTTTTTTTAGTGTACAGTAAAAACAGTAATATTGTACAGCATTATTACAATTGAAAATAACTTTTCTATTTGAATACATTTTGGAATGTAATTTATTCCTGCGAAGGCAAAGCTGAATTTTCAGCAGTCATTACTCCAGTCTTCAGTGTCACATGATCCTTCAAGAACCATTCTAATATGCTGATTTGGTGCTCAAATAGTATTTTCTTAGTTTTATTACATTTTCTTACAAATAATATTTTCTTGTAATTATTGTTTCTTGTTGTTGTTGTGGAAACTGTATGATTGAAAGAAAGAAAGAAAGAAAGAAAGATAGAAAGAAAAAGAAAGAAAGAAAGAAAGAAAGAAATTGATCAAAAATTGATCAAAAGTGGCACTAAAGACATGTATAATGTACAGTAACAAAAAAAATCTATTTCAAATAAATGCTGTTCGAATAATCTTCTATTCATCAAAGAATCATAAATTTTTTTTTTTTTAAATCATGGTTTCCACAAAAATACAAACAATGTTTTCAACTTTGATAATATTAAGAACCATTTTTAATAATTGAGCACCAATATTCACTTAGTACCAAATCAGCATATTAGAATGATTTCTGAAGGATCATGTGACACTGAAGAATATTGACTGCTGAAAATTCAGCTTTGCCATCACAGGAATAAATTACATTTTAAATTATAATAACCAGTATGGTACCGATATATTGTGCATCTTTTATAGACTTACCGTATGCCACAAATGGACACGCTTCCACACGTCATGACCAAATCCTCCACACAGCATTAAGTTGTATTCATGTGACTGATTGCATGTTGATGCAGGCTCAGCGATCAGCTACTCTGCATATGTTTTTCCTGACGCATGGCTGAACAGCACATTTCATGCATACTACATCCCTGCAGCTGTACTAAACACCATCCTCTCAACCTGCATGGCCTGCTACTCCAGGTAAGGCTCCATCTCATTCTATAATCCTCCTTGCTAACACACCACTATACTGATAACACAAATGCAGGTTGCAAAAATTATTGCAGGGTTATGTAGTTCTGGTGAGTGAGTACTGTATGTAAGTATGTGGAACAAGATCAATTTGGGTGAAAATATCAAACTTAAACAGGCAAATCTATACTAAATATACGAAAACACCCTAATTTACATAACATAATTTACGAACATTGAAAACAGTAGCTATATTACAGAGATTCATTCTGAATCATTTTTGTCAATCTGTTCATTTACATAATTTGTCCGGATCACTACATTAATTACAATGCTTCACTTTTTCAAAGCTGGCTACATCCGAAATTGCATACTCTCTGAGTAGGTACTTCGTTTGAATAAGTACTTACATACTTTTAAAAAAGTATGTTCTAGATAGTATGAATGTGTGTAGTATGTAATCCGGACGCACTACATTTGTCATGTAACCTACCAGCATCAGTTGCATCCCTTCATTGCCATTCACGTCCTCTCCCATGGCCTCATGGGATAGTAAAGTGTCCAACAGACACACTTCAGAATCTCGCAATAAGTCAACCGGGTATGTTTTGCCTAGTTTTACAAATACTGTGAATTAGATGTGAATTCTGTACTACTCTTTTGAAATACTGTAGGGAAGTATGCATACATATTAAAGAGAGAGGACCATTTGGGATGAACTGATTTACTAGAATAAATCAGTCTGAGACAGATGACCATTTAGGCGAGAGTGTTTCACTATTCCTTCTTATCAGATATTAGCAATATATAATTTGCTCCATCGCCGCTCATTAGATGAGTGTTACTGGAAAAAGTAAACTACTATAAAAATAGCTTGCTACTAAAAAATGTAGTTAAGTTAGCGTTCCCACTAACTCCTCAACACTGACGCAAACAGCATCAAGAAAGAAAATCCTGCATGCTACATTTTAAATAAAGACATGTTATAAATTCAGTCTGTGCTACAGTAAGTGTGTGAAATACAAGGCTTGTTATATAAACATGACATGGCAGTTTTATAGTTCAATATTATTTTCCTTTTCCATTTTTTTGTTAAGGCTTGGCATACCATTCCTTCACTATAACCATGGCATCGATGAAAGGTAACAGTTTAAACCCAGAATGTGTCAGAATCCTCTGGCACTCACTAATATGCTTTCTTTATCTGCCTTTTAACCCATTAAAATGCTTTATAATGTTATTAACACAAAACACTTCCACCTATTTTTGTTAATGAGGTGGCTATGTGTTTTTGGGATTATGAACAATCAGCCTCTCTTAACTGCTACTAACAATTACATAACCTCACCACCGGCACTGAAACTGATGTTATCATAAATGAACATAAAAATGTCTTTCTCTCTCTCCCTGTCAGATTCTCGGAGAGACAGAGCCCACGGCTGAGTAAGGTGTTGCGAATTCTTGCCTTTGCCTACCCTTACCTGTTTGACAACATTCCTCTCTTCTACAGGGTAAGTTTCAGTACATTCAACGCAAATACCCAGGCTGTTCAGTCAAAGATCAGTCCGGTTAAATAACTTGATATCCAAAAGAATGAAGCTGGTAATTCTGCGATTTGTATTGGAAATGACTGTTTTATCTATTTATCATGTTGTAATTGTTTATCACCGGGGCCAAATTTTTACACACTTCATTGCGTTGTTAAAAAAAGTTTCTAGAAATGTTTATGCATGTTACTTGAGCATATGAATACAATACAGGGCGTGACCCGTCATTTTTTCTGTTGCCTCCTTCTAGTTGTTTCTGTGTGTAGGTGAGGGTTGCACTGATAATGATGCAAACTCCATTCATGTTCATCATACATTGCTTGCTTTTCTCACCGGCTTCCTGTTTGCAACACACTTGCCTGAGAGACTGGCACCTGGACGCTTTGATTACATAGGTAATGAATGACCGCTCACATTATAAATATTAGATATAGTGTATGTTTCTAGTGCGGGGGGGTTTTTATTTATTTATTTTTTCACAATCTCTTCTAAGAATACTCTACGGGTGTGAACTAGTTCATTACCGAGGGTTAGTATCTGAATTATAATAGGTGTTTAATTAAAAAGTCCAGACTCAAACATTTCTAAGAAATTCAGAAAGCACATTTTAGAATTACATCTTTAAAACAGCACCACAGATATTTCTTCAGGAAATCTTGATTCATGTGAATGGCTCTCTTCTGACCCCTACAGGCCACAGCCATCAACTGTTTCACGTGTGTGGAATAATTGGGACACACTTCCAGATGAAGGCCATCGAAGCAGACATGGTGCTGAGACAGTCACAGCTGCTGGTCACTGCTCCTCCTTTCACATTTAATAACACAGTTGGATCAGCTCTGGTCTGTGTCTGTATCAGTCTGGGGATCATATGTCTTTATAGTCTACCTCTGCTGTACGGCTCCTCAGAAACACACACAACGAGGACTGAAGGAAAGAAATGCGAGCACTAAAAGCTACTTGAGACAGGGGGTCTCTGAAAGATTAACTGCAGTCTTGCACAAGTTACCAAAGTTATTATGAAAATATAGCTAGGACGTTCTTACCGGATATTACGTTATAAAAAATCCCTTGGGTTGTACGTTTACTGAAGCTATGCAACCTGAAATAGCAAAGAGTAATGAATGTGTTACTACATGAATTCTGCTTCTCAGGGAAGAGCAAAAAAAAAAAAAAAGGGCACTGAAGCTCAGGACAATGTAAGTCAGTGGGATGGTGCGTCAAAGTGGGCTTTTCCTATGGTGTATAGAAACCCATTTATTAAATTATTATTAAATTTACATAATTTACATAACCATCACACTTTAATACATAGACTCAAATTGGTGATTATTTCGTTAGTCCAACATGACCCATCCAGTTTTTCTAATCTATATATTAGAACATGCATTTGGAATTAACTAATTCAGTTGAATGAATCAGACTTTTCTATGCTATAAATGAGAGAGGAGACAGTTTGGGACGAACCGATTCTCTTGAATGAATCGATCTTTCCTACACTACATTGTTTGGAATAAACTGATTCACTAGAATGAAGCACACTTTCCTACACTACATACTGTATGAGAGGACCATTTAGGATAAACCAATTCACTAGAATGAATCTGACTTTCCTACAATAGTAATTTCAATTTGAAGACATTTGGTCATAATCTCAGGACATAATACTCAAAAATGATACTTAACTCAAAAATGAAAATTGGCAAGTAAATGGCTACCATCACTTAAGCGAGAGAGAGAGAGAAATATAAGGCATGTGCAACACAAAATTAATACCGTAAACAAACTGGTGAATCGGTTATTTGAAACTCATAGAAACAAACCCTTTTTGCCTAAGGGCATTCTTGCACAAGCCGACTTTGTTTTGCTTTATAAGATCTCAATATATCAGTAGGAGCGACAGGTATTAATTTTGTGATGCCTGTATTTTTTATTATTTTTTTGGCTCTCAAGTGATGGTAGGTGTTGCATTTTATGAATCACCAAGAACCATGGTTTCAGCTAAAAGCCTTCTTTACTGTTCTACTGAAGAAGAAAAAAGTCACCCATATCATGGATGGTCTAAGGTTGAATAAATGAACAGCAAATTTTTGGGGGTTTATCTCTTTAATATATGTCCCTAGATTGAGATCAAATGTCTTAAAATTAAATGAAAACGCGCTCCACTATTTTATTCATACATGGTCATATTTCTTTTATGTACAGACAAACACCTCAACAAATGAACTAGCACTGTTAAATAAATATATGCACAAATACCTGTGTGCACAGTCTGCCAAAGTCCACAGTGACAGCTGTTGTATATTCTACTTATTTCTTTTCTGTAAAACTGCACCACTTTTTTCCTGCGGTGTCAACAGAGTGTGGGAGGTATTACATATTTTCATAACAGCAGGTCACACCTTGTTCATGTAACCAAAAATGAAACTATTTATGTTTGCAGGATTCTTTATAATAAAATATTTATTTCAAATCAAGCTAGACCTGGTTTTTGTTTCTTATTGAGACCTATCAGCCTTTCTGACCTTTATCAGCATGATGCCAAGAGAAGGTTATATTGGTATTGTAAATAGGGTGAAGTCAGCAAAAGTGGGACATCAGTTAAAATGGGACAAATAAGCTTTTGGTGTAGTGCTCCTTAAAAAAAATACTGGTAATAATGGGTGGTCTTGAAATGTTATAATAACAGTACTTCATTGAATATCAAAATTTGATTAGTCAAATGAAAATCATATGGGTGTGGTTACCACTCAAGTGCTGGAAGGTCTGAGAAAGTTCATGGTAAGTGCCTGTACATAGTTTAAGTCTATAAACTCGTTAAGGTTTGATTTCTAATACAAACAGTATTTCAATCTACATTAAAAATGTGTATTAGGACATGTTCATGTGATCATTCAGTTTTATGCAATGATTCTTTATTCTCTTTTTTAAAAGTATCAATTTTTTTTTACTGTCCTAATTTACCTGAACATGTTAGACAAATTGGGACAGTAGCATTCAGCTAAAGTGGGACATCCTATAAATTAAAAGATAATACATTGCTTAATGTGAGAAATTGTTTTGGTTTACAGAAAAAAAAACACTGTAGGCAGAAGACAGGGAAAGCAAAAAAAGGACAGAAATTTGTGAATACTGTATATGAACAAGTTTTTGTGTGTAAAAAGTGCAGGTAAACAAACATATTCCTGCTCTCCTGCATATGTTACACACATAAAACAAACACAAATACGAAAGTATGTGTTTTGTCCTGTTAGGGTGTTTAAAAGGCACAATATGTAATTTTCGCCGTTAGAGGGCGTGTATTCAAAACAAACAAAGAGACAAAGGCGTAGTTTGATGACGCCGTGACTGAGTGTGGAATCATGGGAGTTGTCGTCTTCATCCCCACAGCCGATGCAATCCGACGGGCAGGGCTGGATTGGTAATCAGGCATACCGGGCATTTTCCCGGTGGGCCGACGCACTTAAGGGGCCGACAGAAGTTTTTTTTTTTTTTTGCCGAGGACCATCACGCACGGACAGCGAGCAGCCAGTGGCCCATTGGTTTGTCTCCTGTATTGACAGTGTAAACATCCAATCACAATGCGCTATAGATGGAGCGATGAAGTATTTTGCTCCGCCTATATAAAGATCGCTTCACCCCAGCTTCTTCCTCGTCGGCTTTTCCCATGTTTTCACAGCAGCTTTATCAAGAACATGCTTGCTCTGCGGTGAGTGATGCGGGCCAAAGAGCCAGGCAGGAGGAGAATAAGAGAGTTGTTGAATCGGTAAAGTGCTTGATAGGGACTCGCAGCGGAGGCAGGCATCTAACCCATCCTAATTCCATAAACAAAATAAAAAGTTAAAAAGAACAGAATTTATTCAAAATAGAAATCTTTTCTTACAATATCACTTTTTATCCATTTAACACATCCTTGCTGAATAAAAGTATTCTAAAAGTTTCTTTTAAAAAAAAGAAAAAGAAAAAGAAGAAGAAGAAGAAGAAGAAGAAAAATAGAAATTTACTGACCCCAAACCTTTTTTCTTTTTTTTTGGAATAGTTGTGTAGGCTATATTTAACACAAAATATATATTTTGAATAAATACTGTTCTTTTTAACTTTTTATTTATCAAAGAAACACTGTTCTAGTGGTTTTTGGATATTTTAATGAAAAAAATCTTACATATTGTGCCCTATAATTGTTTATATTTTAACTTCTGTTGGACTGCATCAATAATTCTTTAAATATATGCTTCGGTTGAAGTGTTTTAATTCTATAAATGATAAGTGTTTATGAATTCACAATCAAAAACACAATCCACTAGTATGTTTATTTTTATAAAGTTATTCTTTTAAATTTCTATTGAAAAAGATTATTTGTTCAGTGTCCTGCTGTAGGAAATTTTGTATTTTGTAAGCACAAACTTGGTAAAAATTTGTGTCCCACTTTACCAGATTCAGTGTCCCAATTTACCCGAAAAAGCCTGAAGAAGAAAAAATGGGTACTTAGCATTTTTGAATCTCAACAACCCATAATCCTTCAAAAAACATAGTGGGAGATACTGTGTATTTAAAGGGGTCATATGATGCGATTTCAAGTTTTCCTTTCTCTTTGGAGTGTTACAAGCTGATTGTGCATAGATAAGATCCCTGAAGTTGCAAAGACTAAAGTCTCAAAACCAAAGAGATATTCTTTATCAAAGTTAAGACGCTGCCACGCCCCCCTAAAATGGCTCGTTAAAATGCACGTTTTCTTGCGTGGCTGGATGTTGGAATCACGTTGTTTGCATTCGCTCAAACTGATTTGCTGAAGTCGAAACGCGGTCGTTAAAAAACCCAACTCCGTTCACAAATCAAACACTCGTCAAAAAATAATGATTAATTCTCAATTTAGAGTTTGTTATTCGTATGGTCTAGGTGTTCATATGGCATATGCCTTAAATACGTGACAAACTGCGTTCCGTACAGCTTTCATACGGAACGCTTCTTTGATGCCTTAAAGGTAGAGTAAGTGATTTCTGGTAGCCAATGTTGATATTTGTTTACCAAAAGTGCCAGTTTTGCTGACTTCACCCTACACTGCCCTCTACAGCCTGCTGGAAGCTGCTGTAAAGAAAAGTCTCGCAAACTCTGCAATAACTGATAGTCTGCAAGCAGCAATAAACAAGGTTTGTGTTGAAAAGAGGGATTTAAGACAGAGTATAAACTTCTAGTTTCTGTATACATCTGCTCAAACCTGAAATACCATTGAATTTAAAACAATGTTTGACAGAAGGGTGGTGGCAAGTATTTGCATCGGAATTACCATTTATCATGTCGTATTTGTTTATCAATGAGACGACATTAGACAATGAACAAACCTACTTCCAATTAGTGATAGGCGCTTTCGAATAGGGATGGGCGGATCGATCCTTAAAGGTCCCTCTGAAATGCTTAGAAACACGCAGCTTTACTCTGTGTTGAGGTCATTTTAACTGAAACATGAAAACAGGGCGGGACATATCAAGCAGCCCCGCCCCTTTTTAAAATAGCCAATAGCGTTCGTTTATATCACAGCTTGGGCTAGAGCCGTTCAGAGCCGTTGAGCTCCATAAAACCGCATTTGACGAGATATATCCAGCTGCAGACCCGCAGCACCAGCAGTTTCAGAACCGCAGCCATAGAAACGCAGCCACAGAACCGGAAGTGAGGGGCGGAGTTATTGACAACGAGAGAGCATGGTGAGTAGTCTAATGGTTTTGCTATCATACGTTTAATAATTATCGTATACATTACGTTAAGCATTTATCTGCTAAGTACTTAATGTGTGCTTGGCTTTATTATATTATATTGAAACTTGAATTTGTTGTCATACTTTATAGTATGTAACTTTTTTCTGTGGATGTTTCGATTAATTTTCGAATGCATGCTGTAAATGGGCCTTGTGGTGAAGTTTTGAAAGACGTTTATTATTCATAAAAATAAATAGTTTGCTTTAATTCCCTCTGTTATATGCATTGTTTGTGTGTTAATATTACCTTGTAGTTTAGTTATTTTAATCCTGTCACTGTTTTGGAGCACACTGCCTTATAAATAACCTAAGACTAACATATTGATACTAACACCCAAAAAACTTTATTGATTTCATGGGGACTTTAAGTATCGATACTTTCGATAGGCTACTGATGTTGTATCGAAAAGATGGATCCTCACATCAAA